TTCATGGTCTCTAAGTCCGTGAACTAGGACCACAAACCGTGAACATCGAGGCGTCCAATGAGGTTCCAGCAATTACTGACGCCAAGGGAGTTCACGGTCTCTAAGACCGTGAATCCAGGAGAGTGAAGCGGTACGTTTTGGAGACGACACTAAGTTCACAGACGCGTTTACGTGTTCATGGCTATGAACTGGCCAACACGGCCATGAACTGGTCACTTTCGAGAAAATATGAAGACATCAGCGGGGAGAGAGAAGGGGGAGCTGGTTTTTGGGAGAAGGAACACTTTCTTTCTCTAGGGTTTCAACTCAAAACACCAAAGGGGAGTTCTAGTGAGAGAGAGAGAGAGAGAGTGATCTTGGGGCTTAATTGAAGGAACTGATCAAGCTTGGAAGCTACGAATCAAGCCTAGAAGATGAAGATGAAGATCTAGAGGTTTCTTTGTAATCTCTCCTCTCTCTAGAAACTCACCCTCTTCTCTTGGGATTAAGAACCCTAGGTCTAGATTTTGGTTTGTTGTTGATGTATGTGACAACTTACTAGTTTGATTGATGATTTTACTTAATTGATGGATGTTTTAATTGATGGCATGAGTTTTGATTTCATTTTCATGTCTTGAGCTTTTGACCTAGGGATAGGAGGGAGATAATCCCCTTAGAGCCCATTATTTGTGTCTTCGGGTCACTCCTATCGTATATTGTCCAGGTAGTCCTCGAGGGAGTTGATACCATTGGTCTCCTTGCAATATATGAAACCCTAGGTTGAATAGAGCACCTATCCATCCGTTGATTCACCGTTTCGGGTCACTCCCGAGGGAGTCCATCTCCAAACGGTAGTGTATTTGAGTCAATCGAGCTAGGAGGATACTCAACATCGATCCAAAGGTCGGAAATAGGGGGATTTAAACCAAGAGAGATCCCCAAACTTGTAAATAGCTAGGTTACTGGTTATTCTAGGTTAGTTAGCGTAGTTTTTCTAATCACTACCCTAGGTTGGCTAGATAAAGAACCCTAAACCTGAAGTAGGGTAATCCTAGATCCCCATGGTAAGATAAATTCTTATTGCTTGCTTGCCCTATGCTACACCCGGTTGGCGGTTATACTTGATCGTCGATCGGGATGTTGTAGTTAGAACGAGTCAAAAGACCTTAGGAAGTAACAAGGAGAATGACCCATTCTCAATCACCAGGTAAAGGAAGGGCTAGCTGAGGTGGATCCCGAGAAGAAGCAAGGCAAGGTGAGCAGTCGTACCATCATTGAGGAGAATTCAAGGAGCTTATGAGAAGTCAGAGCTAGAATAATTTGTTTACTATGTTGTTTTAAGTATTTGGATTGTGATTGCCTAAGTGTTAGGGCTTTTCATTTGAAATTTATAAATATTTTCAGTTTGTTTATTTTGAAAAGTGGTTTGGGTTGCTTTGGAGTAACCGATTTTCTGTTTGAATTATGGTTTGGTTTTCGGAAGATATCGGGTTGTTTCGTTTTGGTATCAGAATTGACACTCATTTGTTCTTTGGTCCCCAAGGAATACTAGAGTGGCGATTTGTGTTTTTCAAGGTTTCTGTAAGGAAGCCATTTCTAGACCATAACGAGGGGGAGACATTAGTGACCTTGGGAAGTGTGTGAAGGACGGAAGGGCATGTAAGTCCCTAGACAAGGAGTTGAAACGAGGGTAAGCAAATCGACCTCAAGGAAATGCACAAAAGGATATGATAAGGAAAGCATTCCCAAGCAAGAGGAGCATGGTAAGGAGCTTTCTCGAAATGTCCCACTCTAAGTCGGTACAACAAGGTAGGATGCCATCAGGAGGAGGAAGCTAGTTAAGGATAAATCAAGGACGGCCAGAGGGGACGACCTAATGAATCATATTCATTATGATAGGCCACTGTGAACCTGAGCTAAGAGATTAAGGTCATGGCCAAGCACCATCGTGAGTAGAAGTCATGGGTGATATATATCAAGTCTACCTAGAGCAAGTTGCTAGTGGAAATGTTAACTTTGCGGAATGACGAGGAGCTACTGAACTAAGCTCGGGTATCAAAGCAAGAACCAAGCATCGATAAAGGGGTTGTGAAAGTAAAGGAAGTATAAATCCTTGTAGTAGAATGATTACCTCAGGTGAGACTTTGAGCTATCACGATGAACACATTTCGAGGTCGAAATTTTTCTTAAAGGGGGGGAGGAAAATGTGATACTTCGACTTCGATTAAAGGTCCAACAAAAAGTACTGAATGAGCAGACCAATGAATTGAATCGAAATTTTGTCCCATCACTCCCTGGGCCCAAATTGGAAATTTGATGAATAGTAGAGGGCAATTAGGTCGTTTTAGAAACAATGGCAGTTTGGGGATTTTGAGGAATTTTGGTTATCAATCGCCAATTTACCATGCTAGTGATTAATTCGTAATTGGTAAAGGTTTGAGTACCGGATTGAAATAGGCCGAGTGAGACTGAAATGTCAGAATAAGAAAGTGGGAATTGTCCTGTTGGACACAATTGTGCAATTCTGAAAGTATGGGATAGAATTGGTGAAACTCAATAAGAAAAGGTACCATTTGGTAATTGGCCATTTTGGGGCAAAAAGGTAATTTTTCATAATTTTGTAGGATAGCCTATGAAAGATTAAATGATGGAATTCGAAATTCGAATCAACCAAATTGGAGGTCGTTAGGTTAGTTACGCTTGGAGATAACTAAATTAACTTTTGCCTAAATACTTAATTGGAGGAAATGCAAAAGGAGGTAAAGCACGAGAAGTTTGGGTATAGAATCTCGGATGATGACGTGGGTCAACCAGCAATAAATAAGGGTCGTTTTTTCGAAGTGAGTGTAAAGGGGGTAATATCTCAGTAGTAGGTCTTTTAATTTATGCACTTAGTTTAAGTAATTCTAGTTAATTCTTATGAGTTTGCGCGATCATGTGTGTGAGGCATCCCACCACCTACTTAAGGCGGAGGCACGCATTGTGCTATGTATGATTGTATGTATGGTTGTAATTTATGGTTAATGGTAATGGAACCCCCGGACTGTTGGGCCACTACTGGACACGGTAGATGGTCAGATCACTGCTGGACGGCGATACGTAATGCATCAGTTGATCGAGTTATTGGGTCACAGCTGGACGACGATACGTAACGCAGTAGTTGACAGGGCATGGACTGGACGACGATACGTAACGCAATACCATTTCCTTGAGGATAGGGACACCGACGATGATGCATAACGCGGTGAACCCTATTAATAAGTATATAAGTTAAGATAGAAGTAGGGAACTTCTATAAGCTATTAAGGACTAAAGTGTTAAGGATGAAAGCAAGAACGACTTTCATGTAGGAGGAAGTAATTTCTAATAATGTGTTAGTAGGGTTTGCTTAGGCAAAGACTTTAGGAAGTAACGACGAGAGTAACCCTTTCTCACTCACCAGGTGAAGAAAGGGTTAGCTAAGGTGGATCCCGAGAAGAAGCAAGGCAAGGCGAGCAGCCGTACCAGCATTGAAGAGAAGTCAGAGCTAGAATAATTTATTTACTGTGTTGCATGGTTAGGAGTATATACCGGAGATTTTGGGTTAAGTTGTTTTAAGTATTTCGATTGTGATTGCCCAAGTGTTAGGGCTTTTCGTTTGAATTTCTTAAACATTGTTAGTTTGTTTATTTTGAAAAGTGGTTTGGGTTGCTCCGGATTAACCGGTTTTCGGTTTAAATTATGATTTGGTTTTGTGATGAGATCGGGTTATTTCAATTCCTTTCTTGAATTTGAAAGTTTTTTTTAACGATAATCTGAAAGTTAAATGTTGATGTTATTTGATTGGTTCATGTATGAATGTTTAGATGTTTATGTTATTTGTTGGATTCAAGTATAGACTTTGGATGTTTGTGGTAAATGTTGTATTTAAATACGATGCTTTATCTTCGTGATCGATTTTGACCTATAAATAAAATGAAACGATTTTGGTGAATTTGATTAAAAAAAATAATTGTTGATTCATTTCTTGAATTTGAAATGTTTTTAATGATAATTTGAAAGTTAAATGTTGATATTATTTGGTGGATTCAAGTATGAATGTTTATATGTTTATATTATTTGTTGGATTCAAGTATAGACTTTAGATGTTTGTGGTAAATGTTGTATTTAAATATGATGATTTATCATTTTGTTTGGAATGTTGAATTTTATTTAAACATGGATGTAGATTTTAAAGAATTTGTCTTCAAATATGTTATATATGCCTAAATCCACTAAGTGCTAATGATTTTTCACTTTTCTATGTATTTTGCTAAAACTAGCATGAACGGACATAAACCGATTGTACCTCGGGCTAGAGATCACACATCGTCTTATTCTCTTTGGTTTGCGAATTGCTCCTCTTTTCCGATTTTTCACTTCACCTTACCCTAATTTTGAATTTCTAAGTTGAACATTTGAATATTGAAAGCACTTCTACTATGCTATAAAGTATTGGTGCTTTGATGTTATATGAGTGTATTTGAATTTTCATTATATATTGGATCAAAGTACGAACTATTATTTTGATGTAATGTAATGTATTATTATCTGTGTGCAAATGAGATTTGATATAATTTATAAATGTATGAAGTATGAACTATATAATTCTGAACCCAATTACTCGACCGGGGTGACGGACTAAACCCGGCCGAGAACTTTGACATCATCACTTTACTTGAAGGTGCATTAAAAAATTTTAATTGCAGCAGCGGTCTGCGGACATTCGTCAGTTGCTGTTCCCTCCTTCCCCTTTCCCTCAAAAAACAAACTTGGCTCTCTCTCCCTCTGCAAATCTCTGCTTCCATTCCGCCTCCCAGAGACCCTCCCACTTTCAAACGGTAACATTCACTCCAATCCCAAATATCTTTCTATTTTCGAAACGAAACATCGCACTTCGCTCCCCGGATCCTCAGTTCAGTTTTCACTCCCAAATCGCACCCCTTCCTTCAAATTTCCCGGCCCTTCTAGACTCTAGAGATCACACCACTGCTGATTCAGTCATGCCTCCCAACTCTTTCTCTTCTCTGCTTCTCACTCTCCTTCTGGGACTCCTCCTTCCGCCCTGTCTGTGGGCACAGCAGAAGGGGATTGGCCCTAGGGATCTATGGTGCGTCGCCAAGAACAACGCGGCCGACGCCGCTCTGCAGTCGGCCATCGACTGGGCCTGCAGCGCGGGCGGCGCCAATTGTGCTCCCATTCAGCAAGGCGGGCCGTGCTACGACGCCGGAGACATCCAGCGGACGGCTTCCTGGGCTTTCAACGACTACTACTTGAAGAATGGCATGACCGACGATGCCTGCGACTTCACCAACACCGCTGCCGTCACTTCCTTAAACCCTAGTGAGGATTCCTGCTCTCCCCCTTTTCTCGAGATCTGCTTTCGGCGTTGCTTTTGAATGGTCGGTTTGACCGGTCGATCGCTACTTTCCCTAACTTTCTGCTCTGCCAATGCTTCGATTTGCTCCGAGTTAGATGCGGATGATTTTTCTTGCAAAGTTTGACCTGCGCTTCTCTCTGTTGGTGTTTCCTTTTCCCCATTTTCCAGGTCATGGCAGTTGCAAGTTCCCATCAAGGTAAATGTTACTGAAAACTGTAATTAACTAGCAAGACAGCATAGTAGAAGTGCTGTAATTAACATCATTGTACTAGAAAATCAGGAAATAGCTCACTTTGACTTGGATCAATAGGCAAGCAAGTCCTTGGTTCGTGAAGGACACAAAGAGGAATGCACTAATAAATTAAGATTCATTTCTTGTGGGATATATTGCAGCTCCGGAGTGAAGAATGGGAGTGCTTCTTCAACTGCTACAGCAGTAGGAACGGGGCCGGCGGACAGTGCAGATATGAGCAGCTGCAACCGCATTGCAGCAACAGCAGCAGCAGGTAGCACATGGTTTTGGGGATTGTTGGCCGGATGTTTGATTGTCTTGTTGTTTAGATAGGAGAGATTGGTAACTGGCAGAATCACATGGTTTTATTATTAGCGCATCTGAAGTTAACATTATGGGTTGGCAAAGTGTTGGCAATGCATTTTCGCTCAAGGTTTATTTGGATTAGAGAAAGATAAGAAGAGAAGAGAGACGATCTTTAAGCTTACAGTGATAGCTGATCTGCAAGAAGCTCGTGCTACTGGGGAATTGAACATATCATCATCTCATGTTGCAGCTTGCTTCTTTTTATTGCAGCTTAGGTGGACTCTCTTTTTGGCCTTTGAATGATGAACTAGTTGCTAGGATGCATAGCATTAGAATTTATTTTCTTCGATTGAATCGGTTTCGCAGTAAGCTTAAACGTGAGTACGCAAACACGTACTCAATGTTTCCAATACAATATAGGGCGGAATTCACAGCATAATGATTAGAGGTGGCAAATGGATTGATCCATGGATTGGTGGATCCATGGATCAAATGGATTGGTGGATTTATGGATTAGATCAAGTGGATTGGTGGATTATCCATGAATCCAAATGACATCCTCAACCAAGGACTAATATGTAAAATGTGAAAATTTTAGGTACTAAAATGTCATAATGAAAATTTTTAGGTACCAAAACGTAATTTTCCAATAAGATTTTTCGTATAAAAAATTAAAATTTGGGTACCAAAATGTAAAATATAAAAAGTATACGTACCAAACCGTAATTTGTCATTTGGATCTATGGATCAATCCATGAATCCACCAATCCAATTGCATTTGGATCAAATGGATTGGATTAGATAGATATTTTTAATGGGTTGGTGGATTGAATTGGTGGATTGGATTGAGAATTGCCATCTCTAATAAGGATTCCAAGAGGCATAACCTAGGCAATAACCGAGTAAAGCTTCCTCTCAACTATACTATTATATCAACTATCTACAATACATCAATCAATATGTGAAAAAATCCCACTTCTAGGGACTCTAGGGACTGATCTTCGCTAACGATTAGGGATTTAGATGATAAAGAACAGAATAGAATTGGGAATCGACCGAGGCCTTGGATTAGGAGGGAACAGAAATTAGGAATTGAGAGGAATTAGGTTTAGAAGGATACTTTGCTTAATACTTTTCTTAACTCATTATGACGTAAACCCAAAGTACATATTTATAGGGTAAATACCGGAAAACCCTAATAATATCTTAATCCGACTAAATCTCTACTAATCATAATTATCATTATCTTATCTAATATAATAACATAAATCCCAATAGGGCGGGTATCTGACAATATGCAAGACCTGCAAATACACCACGACATTGTCCCTTGAACGTGCCAACAATTGAAGGTCTCTCAATAGTAGGGAATGATTGGAGCCTTGGGTGCAAGTATGGCTAGAAGTTTGGTACCGGTATTTGGGATATACCGGATACCATACCGAATTTGTCTATATTTGGCATTACCGAATACACGTATTATTTCTTGGGATTGAGATTGAATTTCAATTGTAAATCGGTATTAGGGATTACGGGATTGGGATCGATATATACCGAAATACGATCAATATCGAAATATAAGATAGTGTGTATTTTATCCTCTCAACTAGACTCTCTCATTCACTACTACACAACTCTCAACCACCAAGAGCGTCATTTACTTATGCATAGATCATTTCATCTTTGTTTCACAACTCAAAAGTAGGGATGGCAAAAATATCCGTAACCGTGGATATCCGCCCGAATCCGGCCTACTCGGGTAGGGTAAAACACGAACCTGAAGGACATTTAGTGGTTACGGGTAAAACCCAAACCCGAATATTGTGGGTAATGGGTGGGCATGGATTTCTCACTATCCGACCCGAACCCGCCCGATTTTACACATGCATATGTATTTTGTCTAGAAATAATCATTATTTTTCTCTAACATATTTTATATTTAGCATATAAATATAACATTTTCATGAAATTGTGTTGTTTTAGTTAATTTTCTTTATTCTAGTGAATTCTTGTGGTACTTTTTCTCTTACTTAATATAAGAATACGTGTGAATGTTAACATATTGGTTGGAGTTATGAAGAGAAATTAATATTCATGGATAACCGTGGATACCCGAAACCCGAACGAGTATGGGCATGGTTTTGATTTTCTACCCGTTTCACATGTGGGTATGGGTATGGGTAAAACCCGAAGTACTTTGGGTAGGGTAACGGATATGCACTATCCGCCCCCGACCCGACCCATTGCCATCCCTGCTCAAAAGTCCCCATCCAATTCAATTTTGACTTTCCAATTTAAGTCACTCTCATCTCTCACCTAATAACTTGTTATTTTCATAACACCAAAAAACAAACACTAGTATTAGTCGACTCTCTGCTTTTAATTCGTTAAATTAAAGATTACCAATGACAAGAACATGAGATGTCACCTCTCCTTCATTCTCCTTATCCATATCCTAGCTCTAGACTCTTTGCTTAGTCTTTTTGCCCTAAATTAAGCAATCAAATCTAATTGATATATTTAATTATTTATTTCAAATGTAATTAATTTCGTATTCGATAATTTGGTATTCGGGATTGGAATTGGGATACTGAAATTATTTAGGAATTGAGATTGACTTTTGGGTATAATTTGGTATTCTGGATTTCGGTATTTGGTATTGGTATACCAATACCGTACCGATTCTACCACTATTTGGTATTTGGTATGACTTTGACCGTGACCTTTGGTAAGCTCCTCTTCTCGATTGGTTTGGCTTATGATAAATTAAAAGGTTCGAAGTACATGGAGGAACATATAAGCTCTATTATAACAATTTGTGCTTCTATTACTAAAAATACCAACCTTAAGCCAGTGTGCCATCTATATTATGAGATTTTGTTTGCCATCTATTATGAGATTTTCAATATGTCAATTCTAAATCATTTTTTTTATAGTTAATTTTTCTTTTAGAAGTTAACAAAATACAGCCCCTTCGGTAACAATCCTCCAATAATATATGGTAGACTTTTATGTACTTTTCTCCATTTCAAATTTCATGCAACGAGATTGAAAGTAGCAAGGACATTTGTCTTTACAATTAATTCCCGTAGAATCTTTTCGCACTAAGACCTCGTTCATGGCCTTGCGGGCCACATCAAAGTACAAGTAGAGGACTTCATTATTCGGGGGGGGGGGGGGGGGAGTATTGGTGGATTTACAAGGTAATTTTTAACTTCGTAACATTAATTTCCGATAGGTGTCATGAAAGTTGTACTTCTTGATCTTCTTCCTTCATTGGAATTTGGTGGTACCCGGAGAACATGTCGAGGAAGGTGAGAAACTGCTGCCATGAGGTGGCATCAATGAGCTGGTCGATTTTCGGGAGAGGATATGGATCCTTCAGCCATGCCTTCTTAAGGTTGGTGAAACATATGCCACTAACCATTCTTTTTACCATGACGACGTTGGAAAACCATGTCTGGTACAGAACTTCCCTACTAAACCGAGCCTTAAGGAGTTTGGTGACTTCTTCGGCCACCACCTGGTGTCTTTCCCTTGCAAAGTTACGCCGCTTTTGCTGGATTGGGCGGCCACCGGGAACTATTCTAGCCGTGTGTTCGGCCACCCGAGGCTGGACTCCAGACATATCTTTCGGTCCCCAGGAGAATACTTCTTCAAATTCCTAGAGTAATGAAAGGAGGGACTGGAGTGACTCTCGGGGCCAAGAGTTCGATATGAGAACTGTGCGCTCATCAAAAAGTGAGAATTCCTCGTCGAGATCGACAGAAACTGGGCGAGCAGTTTCCTCCCGGACGTTGATCACGACGATTGCCTTTTTCTCCTAGCATAGACTGCAACATTGTCGTGCTAGAGCTTGGTCTCCTTGCATACACCCAACACCGGCTTTAGTGGGGAATTCGAGGCATAGATGGAAAGTTGATGGAATAGTAATAACATTGAATTTTCACATGTTTTTTCTGTGGTTTCTTGATCGTTTAAACTTGCATTATTGCTTCTTTGTCTCATTTTACTCTAGATTGTGTTCATTTTATCATATTTCATGTCCTAGAGCGTGAATGAAGGCTTAGGAGCAAGTTTCAGGTCAATCAAAGATTGTTAGGCGACTTGGAGGAATAAACTTGGGCATGACCCAAATATAATGGATTTTTGCCTCATTTTATGGGCAAAGAATCATGTAAACTTGGCATGAAAAGAAAGAGGACGAGACTACGAGAGTCTGAGATCAAACGGCGACTGATTCAGAGTTCGGACGAGGGAGAACGAACCCAAAAATCAAAGACAGGGAAATGATTAGCAGCCTACTCCCAAGTTACGGGTTGACCTTTAAAGTTATGACGTCATTTTTGGCCGTAACTCAGGTGACACGCTACGACACAACTCCTAACAATGACCAAGTGTAACCAATGAAAGGGGCTGCAATATAGTGGCAAAGTAATAAATATCGAATCCACGGGTCTCTAGAGTTACTATTACTCAGTTTCAGTTCATTATCTAGCAAATCAAATTAAAGATTGATTAACTAAACTACTCTATTAACTAAACTAAGTAAAACTACTAATTACAGGTTGGGAACTCACTTAGGTATGATTCCCCCTAGCTCCTCAATTAGATCCAAGTTGTAATTTCTTTTGGTTGCTTTACTGTTGATTAAACTGCAGAAGATCCGATAATAGCTTGGAATCTCTTAAGCTGACCAAGCCCTCTTAGACAAAATACCCGACGGGTGACTAACCTCCACCAGAGTACAAAGCTAAGACGATACACAAAGATCTCCATTACTGGAATGAATTCCAGTATAAAGCAGTGAATTGACTGACTCTCGTACAATCAATTCCCTACTACCAATTGAGAAAGGTCTCTTAACCCAATCAGATTCTATCTATCATAGGTTAAAGTAGAAATCAAAGGAAAGTGATCAGGATTCAATTGACTCAAAAATCATGCCTCAATTGATTAAAACCACTCAGTATAACATCCAAAGTTTCAAACAAGAAAGATCCTAATACATGGAACTAGGGTTCCTCAAAGCCTAAGTGAAGGGAAGTTACTCCATAGAGAAGAGAGAGATTACGGTATAACTTTCCGGATCTTCAATCTTCATATCTAGACTTGTTCCTTGAGCTTCAATGGTGAAGAATCCTCCAAAATAGCTCCAAGAATAACTCTAGATCGCTCTCTCTCTCTCTCTCTCTCTCTCTCTCTCTCTCTCTCTCTTTGGTTCGTCCCTTGGGTGTTTGGGATCCAAAACCCAGCTCTCTATCCAAAAATCGCA